TGCTGCAGGCTGAAAGTGTAAACTTGATTCGGTGAACCCGCATGAGAAAACGTTTGTGATGACTCCGATTTGGGCTGCTGGTTATTATGGAGATTAGATGGTGAAGCCGAATTCACCTCAGAACCCCCGTCAACTTGGTTATGTGGGCGCCGCATGGCAAGCTCGCACAACTCTTTCTGTACCAGTTGATGCGCAAGCGCCGTATCCTGTAGACGCAATAAGTCTGCTTGCTGTGCCTCTCGAGCTCGCTGTTTTTCCAAGAAGGTAGATGAAGCATCAGAGTTGACAGAATCAAAAGACTTCGGGCAATAATTGTGAAACACAAGTGTGCCGAATTTAGAAATTACTGTTTCATCTTTCATGGAGCGACTGTTCGAAGCGTTGGCGGTTTGCTTGCCTGCAATAAACGGACGTTGGCATCCTGCAGATGATGTCACTGTCGTGGACGTTACCACAGTCGTTGCGCATGTACAGGATGTGATTGATGTGGACGCCCGCTTGACCGATTTGGACAAGGGCAATGGAGGAGGTGTCGGGATTGGCTGCGCTATGGCACACATACTGTTGCCCATGCAACATGGTATTTCCACACGAGGATACTGCAGTGATCCGCATCGTATCAATGAATCCACACCTGGATCAACCTAAATAAAAACGGACAAGATCCGTAAGAAAGCGCACATAAAACTTTTAAGAATGCGTAACCATTATGAAATATGAGGGAAGTAGAACACACAATAGCACACGAGCAGACTCAAAAAGTTACTTCGAGTGCTCATCCTGGTTGTTGAGCTGGTCTTCAACAATCTATAACAGACTATGACAGTACCTCACTAAGACAAACTGTGCAGATCCATGTCATTAAGAGGATTTGTAGGAAACAAATGGCTCTATGATGGTAAGTGTCATTGGCGTACACAAACATGGAAACATGTAATGAGTGGTACCCATGTGACCAATAAACACCCAACCGCGAATGTATGGTACACTACTAGTCAGAGCGCACACAAAAACACCAACCAGACATGAAGAAACATTTGGGTGACAAAAGGTAACAGTTAGCAGAGAAATAAACTTATTTTATGAAGGCACCTAACTATTTAAAGTTAACTCACTTTACACAAAAATGATGAGTGGGGCAAGCTTCCTATGTTTGAATAAATTGGTTGATAGACAAATGCAGTCAAAGAAAAAAGCTGGCACAAACTCTGACTGGTATCAGCCAGTATTTTGATGCACTAACACCGATGAGCTGCGGTAGAACTGCTGGATGCAGCTGACAATGCGACAGGCCAGCATCACAATACAGCTTTACAGTGTACGAATAAATCAATAACAAGATGAAGAAAATGGTACACTGTGCTATGAAAAACCCGAAATCATCGGCGAACGAGCTTTTGTCGTGGGGAACGATATCGTGCAAAAGTTGCATAGACTAGGTACCACGACGCTCGGTTTCTAACCTTTACTTACTGTCAATAAAGAACAAATTTTTAAAGAAACTGAAGGTCATCCACTGTAGAGAATCTTTAGGTTTCGACGGTCTATCTACAACGGTTCTGAAAACGTATGAATATCACCCGGCACAAACCTTTACATCCGACTTCGGTTACTACCCATCAGAAGGCACGCTGATTGAAATCTAGCGTGATGTCCGCATCAGTCCTATACTCAAGGTCACGGCAAAGTTGTCTAATCCTCCGTATTTCTTGTAATATTTCAGCGCATCTTTATTGATGCTATTTTCTCTTCCGCTTATCCGAAGGACTCATCTAGGACGTTCATTGAAAACGACATACTGCAAATGATGTTTGCCCGTTTAATTCGTTCTATTTTGTCTATTTTTGCGTTTAATATTATGATGCTGCATCTGTTCAATCTGCTAGCGCCAGATTCTTTACTTTTTACTTTTGCAGTCCAAATTTTTCACTTAGACTATCGATTCTGAATCATAAATATACACTTGGAAGTACTAAACCCGAGTTTCGCTTTTATTAGGGTTCATCCACCGTCCCGTTCGGGATTTGAACTCCGGACCCATCACATGGTAGGCGTGTGTGTTACCACTTTGCCAACCAGCTCATACTATGGCTGAACCAAATTGCTAATTCATGGTATGAGCTGGTTGGTACAGGAGTAACGCACACGATTACCATGCGATGGGTTTGAAGTTCAAATCCCGGACGGTACCGTAGATATGTACTACTGATGAGCTCCAATAAGAGCGAAACTCGAGTCTAGTGCTTCCGAGTATATGGCTGAATCCATAACTATACAGATAAAATGGTTCGTGGTAAATCCTTTCTGTCAGTACTTACTGTA